GACAAGGGTACTATCGTGGGGGTGCCATTTCCTTCTCCAGAGGATCTTCCTGACCCAGCATACTTGTAATTCAGCTGCAGCAACTATTTCGTTTCTAATTCTCTTGTGCCATTGTCCACACTGGCCCCAGAGTGAAGAATGCCTTCCCTCCTTATCTACTGACAAATTCTAGTCATTCTTCAAGACCCAGTTTCCGCAACATTTCCTCTGTGAGGTCATCCCACATCCTCTGAAGGTTATCACCACAGCTGCTTATTCTATCATCCCATGTGTTAGGAGCATGCCCGGAGCACAGCACTACCCTCACCACATCACAGCCATCTGCCTGACCCCCAAGAGAAGGTGAGCCTCCTGAGAACCTGGACAAGAGGTTTCAGTCTATAACTCACTCAGTAACTATGGAGTTTGGAGACCACACTCTGCAACTTAGTAGCTGGGAGAACACATACTGTAAAACAGGCCCTTTACATCTCTGGTCCCCGGCTTCTTGACACCCAAGAAGAGACAATAATTTAATACCTTCCATAATGTTGGGATGTGTATGTCGATAGAGTTGGACCATAAGGAAGGTTGAGAGCCAAACACCTGATGCTTTCAAACTGTGGTGCTGGAGAAAACTCTTGAGAGTACTTTGGACAGCAAGGAGATCAAACCAATCTCACTCTCTGCCTACTCTCTCGGTCGTCAGGGTACAACCAAGTGAAAGCAAAAGTCGCTCAGTGGTGTCCGACTCTTTGCAACCCCATGGACTACCACACAGTCCATGGAATTCTCCAGGCTGAAATACGGGGGTGGGTAGCCTTTCCCTTCTCTAGGGGATCTTCCCAACCCAGGGATTGAACCCAGGTCTCCCACGATGTAGGCAGATTCTTTACCATCTTAGCCCCCAGGGAAGCCCACCAGGGACCCTCTCGGTCCTCAGAGTACAACCAAAGAGACAGACAAACCATTACTGCCATGTCAGAAGGACATGGAGGCTGCACACTAAATGGGCTGGAAGTCACTCCTGGAGGAAGGACTGAAAGGGGATGAATCTGAAAACATAGAGAACAGGAGTGGGCTACTGACATGCCCCACGTGACACCAGGCTGCACCGAGGCAGCAGCCATGGACAGGAACAGAGGGGACAACTTTAAAGACATTTGGGAGGTGGAATGAAGTCGTGTGACTAGTGAATGATGAGATGTGGGGTCCCAGCCAGGGAGAGTCTGGCCTGCTCAGGCCTGGGGGAAGTTTAGAACGCAGATGCAGGAGCCATCCCCGTGCTGCTTTTAACTGAAGTAACAGGAGAGCACGTGATGGGGCGCCAGGGGGAGGGAGGCGTGAGAAATGAGCTGCACAGAGAGCTTCATGGAGCAACATGGAAGGGCTGGAGGAGGAAGGGGAGCTCATGAGGGCAACTGAGCGGTAACAGGCAGGCAGAGCCGAGGAGCCCGGCACAGAAGCAGCAAGGAAGCAGTGCAAGGAACACTGTGGATATTCTTAGTGCCTGCTACCTGGCAGATGGATAGATTTACTTGTAGAATAAATTAGTGAATCATTGATTTTAAATGACCCACTTAAAGCTGGAAGTTCTTTCATAGGAGTAGGAGCACACCTATTATTTTACCCTAATAGAGTCTTGTGGGTGTTGACGATCAAGGAGGGAGGGACCTTGGACTTCAGAGGAAGAGCAGGGAACCCAAGGAGTGATGGCTGGCTGAAGCCCACTCCAAGATGAAAAAGAGGGTGCATGTCCTCAAGGTGTTTACAACAGAGTCAGAGAGAACAAGTAACCCCACAGCTTCACCAATAGTGGAACACCCAGTGCTGTGAACCTGCAGATGTGAGCCAACGTGAGAGCCACACGGGAAATACAGGGGGAGAAGGGACAAGTCAAGGGCACCATGAGGAAACAACCAGAGAAAGGAATTTAAGGCAAGAAGGTTGACTGAATCCTATAAATTACAATCTTGAGACAATTGGGGAATTATGAATATGGACTGGATATCTGATGCTGTCACAGAACTGTCCATTTTCTTAGGTATGAGCATGGTACCATGTTTATGTAGAAGACTGTCTTTATTCCTAAGAAATGCAGCCGAAGTACTTAGGAGTGAAGTGCCAGGGTGCAACTCCCAAAAGTGTTGACAAAAATGGTCTCTCTGTGAAAGAGACAAAGAAAACACAGTGAAATAGTATTACACTTTCTAAGCGGATTGGCTTCCTTGGTGGCTTAGCAGTAAAGAATCTACCTGCCAATGTAGAAGATGCGAGTTCAATCTCTGGGGCAGGAAGATTCCCTGGAGAAGGAAATGGTGACCTACTCCAGTATTTTTGCCTGGGAAATCCCATGGACAGAGGAGCCTGGTGGGCTGCAGTCCTTGGGATCTGTCTGTGTCCAAAGAGTTGGACACAACTTAGTAACTAAACAGCAACAAGAAAAAGCAGAGGATTACTTTATTCTTTCCAATTTTGTATGTTTGATATATTTCAGAATTTAAAAATTGGGGGAAAGATTAAGAAACTTATTCTTCAGAACCTTGAAGATTCATCTGGCAAAAACAGTTCTGCTATATACAGGGGGCAGGAACCACACTGACTCCTGAACAGTTAGAGAAAAGACAGTAGGCAGAGTCCCAGAAAAGTGCAGAAAATGCAGATAGCATATTTCCTATTTTTTTAAAAAGGTCAGAGGCACAACTATGAAAGGAGTAACCTTAACCCACTTCTCTTTCGACACAGATTGGGAAATAACAACTATGAAAATTCTTTGAGAATTCTTGAGGCTGTGTAACTTACTCCCAGTTGAGGTAATAATTAACTGGCATTTGTGGAGTGTTTGCACATCCCCAGCACTGCATACATCAGTCCACTGAGTCACGCAGGAGGTGAGTGCTATTATTTCCTCTTTCACATTTAAAGCAGTGGAAGCTGTGTCCCCCATCAAAAGTTTCAGGACCTGTCTGGCTCCCTGGCCACCTAGACCTTCCTAACTCAGGCCCTGACCACCTTTCTCAGCTCACCTTTTAGGGCGTGTGGAAACTAAACCCAACAGTTACCCTCTGGGGTGCTGCATGAGCCCTTGAGGCTTCCTTACGCCAGCCCACTCTTTTGTAATCTGTTCTTTATTTAACTCTCTGCTCAACCCATCTGAAGTTGAGTGTGCCCATTTCCTGCTGGAATCCTGGGAGTGAGAGGGTGAGAATAAGAGAAAGAAACTGGAGACAGGTGAACCCTACCCAGCGGGTAAGCGGGTCAGAAAACAACCCCAGTTGGTGGATAAGGCAGCCCTTAAAGAAAGTAAAACAGATTGGGTAAACTCGAGGCGTGGTAGAATCACTCTGGAGAACAATTTGGAAATAGTTCATCATGAAGTTGAATGTGCAAATTCTCTATGCCCAGAAATTCCACCCTTAACATGTCTTACGCTCTGGAGAACACATACAGGAATCTTCCCAGCAGAACTGTTTGTATCAGGAAAATTCTGGAAACAATCTCAGTGCCCATCATTCCTACCTAAGTAATGAAATAATACACCAGACTGAAAAGTGAGGGAACTAGAATTATGTGTACCCATGTGAATGATTCCTACCGACAGAACGTTCAGCAAGGAATGTAAAAGATCAAAGAACACCATTTCCTGCCAGTAAATGCAGGTGCTACCCTGCATGTGTGGTTGAAAAGCAGGCCAAGCAAACTAGGCCTCGTTTAGGAATACAGACATATGTAGCAAGAGATAAAGGAATGGCTGGGGATGCTAAACACCAAATTCAAGGTCATGGTTACCTCTTCCCACCCTGGGCAGAGGAGGAAGGGCACGAAGGAGGAGGCATCCACAGGGGGCCTCAACTCTGCTGGTGATGTGTTATTTCTTACACTGGGTGATTAGCATCTAGGCTCTTTTTATTAATCCTTGCTCCTTATATGTGACAAATATTTTAAGGAAACAAAAAAAACAACTTACGGAGGTTTCCAGGGAAAAGGAAGAGTCACAGGGGTTGCTGGCCCATGAGGATGGTTTGCTCACATCTCCTCATTCTTTTCTGCTGCTTTGACTCAAAGTAGTGCAAACCGTCTAAGGTTTCTGGGATGTCTCTGGACTTAAGGTTCATTTGGCTGAAGAGTGTTTCCAAGAGCCAAATGCCAGCCCTAAAAACCTCATAAGAAGCTTCCCTGGGAAACATACCAAGAGAGCACTCGAATGCATCAGCTTCCTATCAGGAGAGGTTATGGAAGGATTTCTTTTCACTGTACTTCAATGTACGTTGCTTCCCAGATACTGCGTTTTTTGCAGAGTGATGGTTTGCAGTGACCCTGTGTTGAGCAAGTCTATGGGCACCACTTTTCCAATGGCATTTGCTCATTCACGTCTCTGTGTCCCATTTCAGGAACTCTCTCGGTGCTCCAGATTGTTTTACTATGATGACGATACTTGCTGCAGTCATCTGTGATCAGTGATTTTTGATGTTAGTACTGCAAAGAGATTACAATTCACTGGCGGCTCAAATAATGGTTAGCATTTTTTAGCAATAAAGTATTTTTGAATCAAGATATGCATATTTTTAGGCATATTACTATTGCACCTTTAATAGACTACAGAATTGGGTAAATATAAGTTTTATAGGCACTGAGACTGAAGAACTCATGCAACTCGACTTATTACAATATTCACTTTATTGCAGTGATCTGGAACAGAGTCTGCAGGATCCTCCAGGCCTGCTGTATAGGGCTCAGGGCATGTCTGGGCTGTGTTAAGAGGTCCTTTAGAAACCACATAACACTGCCTCAAGAAATGCTCTCATTTCCAAGAAATCTTTCAGGGCAGAAGAAAGGAACACTGGTCACTGAAGAAAGGACATTGTCTTCCCTGCCATAGCAAGAGGCTGATGAGGCCTCCTAGAGCCCAGCAGAGCAGGGAGGAGCCTAGTTCTGGAAGGGGGCAAACTTGGGCTTGAATCTTGGCTCCACCACGTGCCAGGGTGACCGCGCAATTCACTTCCCATTCTGAAAGCTCGGTTTCAGCATCTGGAAGGCTGGATCGCTCCACCTGCAGAGGGTGGCTGTGAAGCTCAAGAGGGATCATGTTTGTAGGTTAATCAGTGCGTGTACAGAGCAGGGTCTTCATAGACCCAGAGGGGACAAGCTCCCTCACCCTCTTGGTCTGACGCTTGTTCCCAGGGAAGCCTCCACCTGGAGTCACCCTCTGATGGTCGCCTGGCCCCAGGCCCTGCGTTCTGTGTGTGTGTACAGGCTGGCAGGGCCACACCCCTTTGCTCTGCAGACCCAGGCCCACAAGGGTCTGTGACAGGGTCATGGCAGAAGACAGGCGCATTGGTCATTGGAGAAAGGTCATTGTCTCCCTGAATACACTTCCCTAGGCCTCCCAAAGGTTCTTTCCTCAACATCCCCCCCCCCCACCACATCTGTTGGGGGAACCTCTGACTGAAACCTGGCCTGGCACCACATTAATCATTTGCATGAGTTACTTTTTCCCCAGGAGATCCTAGTAAAGACCTCAGAACTAATAAGCCACCACCGGCTGGACGAAATTGGTAAAGGCCACAAGGAAACAGGGGACACCAGTCCACGTGTCCTCCCAGAGTCCTCCTTGCTGGAATCTGTCTTGGCTGAGCGATACACACACCACCAGGAAGGACCCTGAGTCAGCGTGATTGACCAGAGACAACCGGGAAACTAATCCCATCACCATAAATTCCGAGACTCCAAGCCTCGTGGCAGAGCAGTCCTCCTGGGTCCGCTCACCCTGCTGCTCTGCACCCAGGCGCCCCTTCCCAATAAAGTCTCTTGCCTTGTCAGCACTTCTGTCTCCTCAGACAATTCATTTCCTAATGTTGGACAAGAGCCCCCTTGTTAGGAAGGGTGTCCCTTCCTGCAACACCAGAAGTCTCTGCTGGATGAGCCATAGTGAAAGGGACAGGTCCTCTCTGCCAAGTCTAGAAGTCCAGTCCACGGGGTCAGAAGTCCCAGACAGCAGGAGCCTAAACCCCTAAATATACCAGCTAGGACTGTGGCCTGTGGAGCAGGGGAGGGCATGGGCAAAGGGGACAGTGTGTAACAACTGTCAGCTACATACGGGTACTTGCCATCTATGTCTGCAAGGATTAGATCACGTGCTGCTGCAGCTGCTGACCTTCAGCACCTGCCGAAGGAGTTCAGGGTTGAGAGCAGAAATTGGACGCTCTGTGCTTGGGAGAAACTGGCAGAACAGGTCTTCAGATAGTTAGATATTTTCATGTGCCGATTTTATGAGCCCAATTCTTGTATCGCCTCAAATCAAGAAAAGCACTAAAACTCTTCGTGGTGACTGCTATTTCTCATGACTAGCAGAAAGCCTCACAGATCAGCAGAAAACTTCTGAAAAAAAATATGTGCTTGACTGCATGTACTCCTGCTTCCCCAGAATCACATATACGCTGTCCGTCCATAGGACCTCTTCAGAGCAGTTTCTCAGAGCTCTCTGAGGTTCTGTCTCCTGGACTGCAGTCCTCATGTTGCCCGCAATAAAACTTAACTCGCAACTCTCACATTGTGGTTTTCCTTTTTAAGTCGACACAATTCAGGGGTGCTTCAGAGACCTCACCAGCCTCCAAGCCTTTGCCGTCACAGCATGTGCACCATTGTCCCAAACCCTGCTGTCCACGGGCAGACTCCCTGCCTCTCGCTGTGTCTTGCCCTTTCTGCCAAGATCACTCTCCCTTGGAAGGAACTAGCTCTGCCTCTTCCTCGGAATGCCTCTGGAAGCCAGGAACTGTTACCTCCCTCAGCAACTTTCTGGCCCGTGTTTGGAATGTGATTTACGTTACTGACCGCAAGTGCAAGAGAAGAAGGCAAGGCCAGGCCCTCCCAGCTGAGTGCAGGGCTGAGGGGTGCCAGGTCCCCGTGACGATGCAGGCAGGGAGGGCCCCCTTCCAGAGAGCAGTGAGGGGTTGCTGCCTCTAGGGCCCCACAGTGTGGCGGGGGCAGAGGGGTCTCCTCCCACGACGGTACAATGTGGATACCACTGCAATGCCCTCCCATTCCAATGGGCTGGTGGGTTAGGGTCCGTCTGGGGAGCTTGAAGGAGACGCTGGGTTTGCTGGGACTTGCTGCTGGGACTTCGGGCTTCAGGCCTGACTCAGCCGGCAGGGCTGGGCTCAGGCCAAGGGCCATGGAAAGACGGGGTCACACACGCGGCCACGGGCTGCGCTAGCTCAACCGCTGGGGCAGCCAGGGCTCACTGGGCAGTGGAGCGCAGCCCAGGGAGTCAAGACCTTTATGCAATTATAGAGGCTTTTTCTCCACTTTGGCGAGAAGACATTGCTCTCCCGAGGAGGAATTATGAAGCAGATTGTTCCTGACTCTCTTCAAAGGCCAGGGAGGTTAGGACACTCCTTCCTTCTCCAGGAAGGCTAAAAACACAGGCAGGTTTGTCTACTCTCCATGCTTCAGTGTAAGCCGCTGCCTCTGGTACCTTGACAGAGGCACCTCTGAGGCCCCAGTCTGGCTGCCAGTGGGACGCAGACTTCTTCTTTCCCTCTTTTCTAAGACTTTTTTTCCCCCTGTGAACCATTTTTAATGACATTACTGAGTTTGTTACAATATTGATTCTGTTGTCTTTTATGTTTTGGTTTTTTGGCCTCGAGGCACCTGGGATCTTAGCTCCCTAACCAAGGATCAAACCCACAGCCCCTGCATTGGAAGGCAAAGTCTTAACCACTGGACCACCAGGGAAATCCCTCCCCTTCCTCTCTTATTTGCTACAACACAATAAGATATACATGTACTGGTCCTTGTCGCCTGGCTCCTGACACAGGATTTCTAAAACACTTGTGATTTCCTGGGTGACAGAGATGCTAGAGGCATCCTTCTGTTCTATCATTTGGTCTTTGATGCTGGTTTCTGGTACAGAGCTCCTAAATCCTTGGAGTTTCCCACGTGAGGAAGCCTCCATAAAAATCCCTCAACTATGCGGAGGGGAACACACTATATGGTTGGGAAACTGTTCTGGATTGGTCAACACACCCATGTGCTGAGGACGACATGCCCCAAGCCCACATGCATAGGGACCCTCCTGGACCTTGCCCAGTTCACCTCCTCACCTGTTTGCCTGTGTCCTTCATCATGTCCTCTATCATAAACCAGGAGACATAAGCTAACGTCTGCCCCAGTTCCGTGAGCCGTTCCAGCTCAGAACTGAGAGGGAACCACAGGAACCCTCAGCTTTTCAGCCAAGTAGGTCGGAAGTGTGGGGGCCCTGCGGACCCGTTACTTGTGACTGGTTCTGAAGTGTGGGCAGTCTTGTGAGATAAAGCTCTTAACCTGTGGAGACTGATGCTAATTCCCAAAATGACTTTAACTAGAGGACACCCTGTTGGTGTCCAGAGAGCTGGAAAGTGGTTGGCAACGTGGGGAGAAAAACATAAATTTGGTGTCAAAAATGTTGCAGGTAGAGAAACAGCTTTTCCTTTAGCCTCTAACCCATGGGAACTTTTCCTCTCAGAGCTTTTACAGGCAATTGCTGCAATGGAAAACAGGAGGGACAACAAAAATAACAACCCCAGAAACGTGACAACGTTTTGGGTAATTTTACAAAGATCTTACAGTTGCTGAGTGCCAGCTTAGACATCAACCCCAACCCCCTCCGGATCCTGTCCAGGCTCCCAGGAGCTTGGAGAGCCAGGCAGACTCTTCTAGCCCCCTGCTCCTTCCACCAGAACTTTCTGTCAAGTGCTTTGTCCAAGCCCCCACCCATCCTGGCCCCTCACCCTGGACCCCTCTCCAGGAGAAGCTCACTCATCTCTGAATCCCAAATTAAAACCAAATAGTCACCCACCAAATTTGACTGCTTAACTGTGCTTGGAAACCCAGACTATGAACTTAAACACACCCTGAAGAAATAGGAAATCTACCTTCCTCCTAAATCTCATGGACTCCCTCCCTCACTGGGCAGATTAGGAAATGGGGCTCCAGAGACCGTCTCAGATCTGAGATCACTGCAAGTTTCTCAACTCTTAGTTGGATGTTCTTTAAAATATGTCATGCCTCTGCCCCGTCTGGAAATCTAGCATTGTCTGACCAAACCAGAACTAGGAAGAAGGAAATGTCCTCCAGACAGAATGAAGCTTTCCCTCTGGAAACCTGGGTTCCCTCCTAAGGCAGGTAGTATACTGGGCCCCCTGATCTCAATCCAGCCCCACAGGCCACCCCTCAGGCTGCCTGCATAGCTGTTCCTTCTGGTGCCCATCCCCAGCCCCCACTCAGCAGGATATGCCCCTCCCCACCAGCCCTCCTCCCTTGATCCCTCCCCCACACCCACTCCCACGGACCCAAGTGCTCCTAATCAGCCCAGGCCGACCCCTTTTTGCACTCACTGCACCTGTCACCACCTGGATCTTTTCCAGCCTGGGCACTCACTCCACCGGGCAGGGACCCAAGGGCTGGCCCTCGGCGGGTGCTCAGAGAAGGTATGTAGAGAGAAGATGAAGGCACGGAGGCAGGACACGGGTCTTAAATACAGCTTTATTGGGAGCAGGCCGTCGTCCCCGCAGCAGCCAGCTCCCACGTATACACAGTATACACAGCCCCGCCAGCACCCAGGTCCTTCCGTCCTTCTACAGTACCCGGAATGCAAAAGACCCAAATACAAGAGGGGCTCTGTCCGTGACAGTGTCTAGCGCCTCTGAGAGCCAGCACCCAGGCCAAGAACATTCAGGACCTTCCACCGGTCCTCAGCTCCCCACCCCCGCCCCCCCACGGCAAGACCCGCGAGGCTGGGCCCCTGAAGTCAGTGCACGTGACGGGCAGACCCTTGCTGGTGCACGCCCCACCCAAGAGGTGGCTGCAGCCCCCAGCACATTCCTCTTCTTCCACAGACATGAGAGATCACCTTAACTTTTTGCTCCATCACCAGAAACCTGTGCCTTCAGGCTTCTCTCCGCTCATAGAGAAGAGTATGTTCTTGGAGAGTACGGTTGGATGAGCGACGTGGTCCCAGACAAGACATACCTCCCAACTTGTCTTGCTTCTACTTCTTTTCAAAGGGAAAAAAAAAAAAAGGTAAAAGAAAAACATCACGACAGAAAAGAGCATTGAGATCCAGCATGTGTCAGGAACAAGATTGGTTGTCCCTCCTTAAAATGATTCCTCAAGCCGCTCTGCTAGGGGCCAGACGCCCCCACGGATGGCCGCTCCCTTCCCACCCACCTTTCTGCACGTCCCCGCGCCACCTCACCTCTCCTCACCAGGGAGCGGTGCACCGAGCGCAGGGTGCGGTGCTGTCGTCAGCTAGCAGGGGTCCACCTCTGCCCTGCAGCCCCCCAGCGTTCACTCAGGCAGGAAGGGGGTTTCTCCTCTCTACCTTCTTCAAGGGTGACAGCAGCCCAGCCTAAGAGACCCGCCTGCCCTCTGCCCCCAGCGGGAGCTTTTTCAAGGGCTCAGCCAGGGTTAGACCAGGATTAGAACATGGTCCCAGGCTCACCGGCTGGCCCGCTGGTCTGCAGACTCTGACTTACGGGGAAACCAGATAAAAGTGCTGACTGCCTTTCCCAGGGAAGACACTTGTTTTGCTATCGCTTCACTGAGGTCCAGGACTCGCCACCTGCACTCAGATCCAGAATCTCCGGTGTTCGTGCTAGTGCAGCCGCACTCTCAAGAAATACCCTGCTCAGCCAGAGAAGCTCTTAGCCCAAAGCCTCTGCTCACTCGGAGCTGTAGGAAATATCCTGGTTTCCATTCCCCTACCTTGTCTCTGAGACAGACAAGTCTCCAGCAGCACCAAGGGCCTCTGGGTCAGCTAACTGATTGTTGCTGCCTCTTGAAACCTGTCCCCAAGGCACCTGAAGAGAGAGACCCTGTCGCATTTGGGGGCCTGGGGGATGGCCGGGCTGTGGGAGGCAGGAAGCAGGCACCCTAGTTCATCTCTGTGTCTGGGCAGCTCAGTCTATGGAGGACAACAGCTGGGGCTGCTGGAAGCACCAGGGTCACCACTGCCCTCGGGAGGGAAGGGCATGTACCCAGAGAGCAGACCTGAGGTAGCAAACAGTGAACCCCATTATCCAACTGCAGAAAGTGTGGCCTGCGATGCAGTGGGATGGTCCCCAGGGCGGACCACGTGCAGCTGTTCAGACAATGTCCACCTGGACGTTCGGCACCTGGTCCTTCTGGGCGTGTCCCACGTCCCTCCAGCGGGGTAAGCACCACGGCCATGCTGGTTTAGGATAACAGCCTTATTTATACCTGCCTGCCTGGAGGAAGAAGCCATCAGAACTGCGGCCTCCTCCTCGCTCCCTGGGGTGACATGCCCTCAAAGCCTAGCCCCAGAGACAGCAGACCCTTCCAGATCACCCTTCAAAGTCACTGCTTCAGCAACAGAACCTGTCACCCCTTGAAAGCTTCAGTATCTCTTTTGGATGATCGGATCCCTCGTGAAGAAGACAACAGTCTCCGTGCTGACCGCCTGCCTCCACCTGCAAAGCCTCAGAGGACACCAGCACGCAAGCCCTCCCACTAGTGTGGAGACCAGACGACACGGGGAGGAGAGGGGGCCCTCGAAGGGATGGCCGAGAGAGGAAGGCAGATGCACCCAGGCAGCTCCCCGCCCCTGCACACACCTTATTCCACATGGAGTGGCCCAGGCTCCAGTTACACCTGCCCTGCCCCAGCCCCTCGGCTCTGCCCACCCCCAGCCAGTTTTCACTGTTCAGTCCCAGTCAGGCAGGAAAGAAAGTGGCTGAAAGCACCATAAACACCTGCCTTGTTCAGAGACGGCTCAGAGCCCTGGGGCCCCCTGAGGGTGCCAAGCTGCCGGGCGTGGCTCCTCCAGCAGCCTGCGACCTCCCTGTGGGGGGCGTGGTCCCTGAAGTTCTGCTGGGAGGCGCCCGTCCATCCTCCTGTGCCTGGGAGGCGGGGCCCGCGCCTCCGGCCCAGCTCCGGCCCAGCTCCGCCCCACTCTGAGCTTCGCTGTGAGGCTGGCCCCGGAGGAGCCGGGCGTGAGGTAGACTGTGCCTAGTGACTTTGCTTCCCCACCCAGGCCCTTGTCCCTGGATGTGGGTGACCTCGTGGCCTGGGCCCCGGGCCGCTGCCTTGTGTGGGCAGCCGGCAGGGAGGCGGCAGCATGACGGGCCCGACAGTGGGCAGGAAGGCCGCTGGCTCAGCACGGCCTCAGGATGCAGAAGTCCAGCTCCTGGGGCTTCCGGCGCAGGTCGCACTGGTCGCGCGCCAGCAGCCGCCCTCCGTGGCCCACGCACTTGAGCGGACGCCTCTTGAACCCCCGGCCACAGCTCTTGGAGCAGGGCGACCAGGCGCCCAGCTCCCAGGTCGGACAGGGCTCCCCACAGCTGCGCGTCTCCACCGGGCGGTGCGCAGCGTCGCAGGTGGATGCCCCGCGCTGCCCCGGGGACCCACGACAGTCCACCGGCCGCCGCTGAAGGCCGCCCCCACAGCTGGCCGAGCACGGGCCCCAGCTGCCCGCCACCCAGCGCGCGGGGGCCCGGGCGTCCGGCTGCTCCACCTGGTTGGAGAGGCTGAGGACGCTGTTGTGGTGTACGGAGGGCGCCCGGGGCTCCTTGGGCAGGTAGAAGGAGTAGCGGACCCGCGGCGGCGTCATCTTGCCCACGGAGAGCACCTCCACCGTCAGGGGCTCCAGGATGGGCCGCGAGGCCTGCAGGCTCTCCACCGCGGTCCCCGTGCCGCTGTAGCGCAGCAGGCTGCCCTTCACCACCAGGTCCCGCTCCACGGCCGACACCACGAAGTGCCCATTGAGCAGGTATTTGCCTTGGCTGTTCTTCAGGGCCAGGTAGTTGTCGTCTCCGATCAGCCCCTTGTAGCCGCGCTGGCGGATGTCGATGCTGGAAGCACCCGCTGGGATGGCCACCACGAAATTGTAGCCGTGCCTGCAGTGGAAGGACGTGCGTTAGAGGGCTGCAGGCCTCCTGACCCCACTGCCCTCCACCCCGAGATCTGTTCCTCTTCCCCAAACCCCTGGCGCTCACACAGGTGACAGAGCCCATAGCCTGGCCCCGTCCAGGGTCACACAAACCAAGTGGTGGTGAGACTGCCTCACCCACAACCAGATCCTTCAGAGGGAGTGGAGAGGAAGGAGGAGCAGCAGTTGGGGGGAGGCTGGGGCTCTGCGAGGAGGTGTGTGTGCGTGCTCAGTCACTTCAGTTGTGTCCCGACTCTGTGCAAGACCACGGACTGCAGCCTGCCAGGCTCCTCGGTCCGTGGGATTCTCCAGGCAAGAATAATGGAGTGGGTTGCCATGCCTTCCTCCAGGGGATCTTCCCCACCCAGGGATTGAACCCAGGTCTCCTAAATCTCCTACACTGTGAGGCCAGTTCTTTACCACTAGCACCACCTGAGTGCAGGGAGGTTCATGACCCCAGAGTAAGGGACCCCAACCAAGCCTTGAGTGGGGTGTCAGCTCGCTGGTGACTTCAAGTGAATCAGACTTTCTGGGCTCCATGGCTCATCTACACAATGAGCGGGTTAAAAGAATTGATGTCTTAGGCTCCTTCTGGCCCCACTAATCTATGAAAGGGACACCTGCCATTTAGCTGGTGAAGCAAGTCAGAGAATCTACCTTTAATTCCCCACTGGGTCTCCCCTGCAGGTCCCTGAGACTACAACACCATTGGCTCCCAGTGTCCAAGCACCCAGAGAGGTTGCACCCAGGGCTCGACAGAGGGCACCATGTCTGGGGGACAGTGGAGGCTCCTGGACAGCCATCAAGGCCTTCCTACCAGCAGCATGTGGACCCCCAAGTTCTCAGAGCCAACCACATCCCCTCAACTGAGACAGCAGGGGCTCCGCTTGCCTCCTCTTCTTCCAGAGAGTGGGTTCGGACTTTGCAAGGAGCATAATCCCCTGAAAAAAAGGGACTGTGCTGGACCTTGGAGAGCCAGGAGCCCAGGCTCTGCTGGGACAATTCTCCGGATGATCCAGGCACCCATGTCCCAGGGAGGGGGCTCCCTCAAGCCAGCTGCTCACTCCCCCATCTCCCTGAAGTTTAGTGCCATTCTTGCCTTCATCCCATCCCAAGGCCAGGGCCTCATGCTCAGGAATCAGGGAGACTGTAACATCTATCCCCAGGTACCTTTTGCTTTTTATCAACATCAAGAACATTTAGTGAGCATTTATTATGCACCAGGTACTATGCTAAGCATGTTACTCAAATTAATTCTCTTAACCTTCACAACAGCAGGACTGGAAATACACTAGCACCATACTCACTTTACAAGGGGGTAAATCTGAAAGCCTAGAGATTGCGTCACTGGACCAGGGCCATTCAGAAAGTGGGAAATGGGATCTGAACTCAGGTCAGTCTCACTCTAGAACCAAAGATGGGCCCTAATGACTTTACTGTCTCCCTAAATATCATCTCCCGCTAAGCAGGGTCCTACTCAAGACTCCATCTTTGTTGGATGAATGAATGAATGAACATCACACTCATGGGCAAGCATGAGTGGCCTCCACAGCAAGGGTGCTGGCCAGGATCTGACATTTACCCCATCTAGCCCACGCTTCCGGGGCCTGGGGCGTAACTCCTCCCCTCCCACCCTCATCCCTCCTCTCCCTGCCCTGGACACAAGCCCAGGGCCCAGAACTCACATGGGCTTGGTGAAGAGTCCTGACACCTTCTTGCAGCTCTTATTATCTCCTCCACATACCCCACACTTGTCGAACTTCTTTTTGGAGCCCAGGTTCCCATCGCAGCCCGCCTTGATGCACTTGCCCTGGACGCAGACTGAGGTGGAGTCTGGGGTGCAAGGCGTGCCATCCACCACCTGCAGGGCCCCCCGGGCAGGGAGAAGAGGAGCAGGGGCAGCTCAGCCCAACACTCCCCAAGACTGTGTCCCCCCACCCCCCGGCCTCCTGCCCAGGCTCACCCACCTTGGGAGCCAGCACGTAGAAGTAGCCGGTGCCGTTGGCTCGGCAGATGAGCTTGCACTTGTCCCGTGGGGAGACGCCCGAGTACTTGGGCACCCAGGCCACTGCCAGGGTGAGCCGGTTGGTGCTGTGGTTGTAGCCGTTGAAGGCCTCGCACTGCTCCTCCCGGAAACTCTTGCCAGAGGCTGGGGAGGGAGGAAGCACATGCAGGAAGCTAAAGGGAGGGGCAGTCGGGGAGAGGGCAAAGAATAGGACCCCGCCCCGTGTGGTTGCTCAGCCTCCCTTGGCTCTAAACAGCTCCGCTCCACCCGTGGCTGAGTGGTCCTCATCACCAAAGCCACCCCATCTCAAAGGACAAATGCAGGCTGGGACCAAAGGATGCAGGATACAGGTGATAATGCATGCCCCAGGCAATGTGCCACCTTCCCCAGTGGTCCAGCCTTAAATTCCCTCTACAACAGAAATCCTAAATAGAAGTCTTCAGTGACCTATTGAGACTGTTTGCAGAATGTTCCTAAATGCATAAAATACATACATAGATCACAAAGAATACCAATTATATTAACACACAACAATCAATATATTTTGAAACATATTTGTGATTCATGTGCTTCCTTGTTAACTCATTATATAACAAGATTCAAAGATGAGTCTAAAAAACAACCAGAAGATCTTCCCTGGAGGTCCAAGGGTTAAGACTCCAGCTTCCACTGCAAGTGGCGAGGGTTATTTCCCTGACTGGAAAGCTAAAGCTCCTACATGCTGTGCCACACAGCCAAAAAATAAAATTAGGTAAAATACTTTTTAAGAGCTTTAAAAAAAACACTAAGTGTGAAGTGGTAGTGAGCACAAATGGCATTTTGAGAAATCTGCCACAACTGAAAACATGTAACATATGAAAATACCTGGGATTTATAGTGGTGGCAGAGCAATTCCTGCTCATATGTAAGTAAGAACCATCTCTGAGTTCTAAGCTGGGCTGTATCTATTCCAGTCTCATAAAAATAGCAAGAAACTGAGAATGTGGAAAAGATGTAATTTACTTTTATCCCAGCAAATTACAGAGAGCTGATCATGGTCTATAGGAAAGTCAAACAAGGGATATGTAACAATTTTTCTTTTTTTTTTTCCTAAACCATTTTATTTTCATTCTACTATTGTTATTGCAGAGGATTATTCTTAGAAAACAAATAAATTAAAAGCTAACCTGTTTAAAAGAATTCCTGCTTATGAAGATGGGCTTGTCAGTGCTTAACTAAGAGGGTTCTAGTGTCCTGTCCCCCTTGGACCATTTAGCCTTCCAGCCTCAGCCTCAGAGGATAACAGCCCTGGCAGAGGTGAGTGGGCAGAGAAATGATGCCACGAGGTACCTCTGCACATGCAGACTCTGCCCCAGGGGCGAGGACCTCAGTTGAAGTAGCTCTGGGGCCTCCAGCCCACCTCCCCAGCCGCGCCACGGGCACCCCCTCCTCACCCGAGCTGGGGCAGGACTCCAGGTTGCAGGAGCGGTATTTCACCCTCACCCCCTCACAGTACTTGCCGCCGTTGGTGGGGGTGGGGTTGCTGCACTGCCTCCGGGCCAGCTGCACGCCCCCTCCACAGGTGCGCGAGCAGGGGCCGTAGGCCTCCCACTTGGCCCAGGAGCCGTCCACCTGCAAGGAGGGGACTGTTACACTCCTGCAGGGTCCAGGCGCCACACCCACACCGGGATCCTGCAGGAGAGCTACACAGGGACAGCCTCCACCATCCCAGCCCACCAGAACAAAACCCACTTTGTTTCCGTGCCCGGGACACACACCACACTGTAGCCTGGAGATGAGCAAATGGCCACCGCTCCCAGTTACAAGCCAGGCCACACGGGAGGACGGGGCTCCTGGCTGTAGAGTCAGGGACGCTCCACCTGTGCCCTCCCCACGTGGGCGTCTTGAGCGAAGCAGAAAAGCTTCCTTAAGTTTCAGGTGTTTCATGTGCAAAAATGGAGCCAGCACATCTGACCTCAGGCATGAGGTCAGGTGGAAGATTGAAATGATGTGTGATATTTCCTAGTACCTCGCAATAGCTCAAGGTTCTTCTTTACATATTGTTAGTGTCCTTACAAAAGTCTCTGGATCTAAAGAGGCCAGTAAGCCATGTCACGATAGATATCCAAATAGTCTCATCTGTAAGGTTTCTATAATTCAGACTTTTCACCAAACCAGATTGGTTGTCACCTCAGTCTGGGGTTGCATTGTTGAAAGTTTTGCTACAAGCAGATGTAATGTTTGTGTTCAGAGGAGATAAAGAGAGGAGACTATTAAGCAATCCTCAAAGTCTCTTTGGCTTTGGGGTGAATTATGCAGTGTTGTTGTACTTTTCAAGAGGGTGGAGAGAGGAGAGAGAATTTATAGTCTTCATTATGTTTTTCTTAGGATGACAGTAAAGTTAAGTTCTCGGCACTGAAAACACATGGGTTGGGCCACAGGGGCTGAGGCCCCGCTGTACAGGCTGGGGTGGAAACACGGTCACAGATCATCCAAAGCCACCAACCCAAGAGGAGACAGATACTATAACTGATGTAGGTACTCAGAGCATTTCTCCTATCTGTTCTCTGTCAGAAAGTTTCTGTTTCATTGTTGCCAGCGTGTCTGTTTCATCCTGCAGAAGAACACTTTCCCGTAACCTTGCTTTCTCCTCAAATCAGAGCCCACCCCAGCTCAGCCCTTCCCTTCCTCAGCAAGTCAGCTACACCTGCTCTTTCTACCTGCTGCCTCCTCTGTGCCTCACACCACAGGAGCCCCCTGGCCAAGGCAGCAGTGACCCCCTAGAGACTGAAAGAGTCCATACCCAGGCCTGTGGTCCCCAGTCTTCAATATTTAACTTTGCTCCTGTGGCTTCTGAGATGATGCTACATTGTTTTACCTGGCATCACTTCTTCCTGCACACTCCTACAGGAAACACTCCTGCCATGCACCATCCAATCACTCATTTGCCCAGTATTTATTGAATTGTTACTAGAAGCAAATCTCTGCCTTCAAAGCAAACACATCCCAGCAGGGAAGACAAACAATAAAAAGAAGCCTGTGCACCTGCTGTCAGATGGGATTGAAGCAGGTGGGGTAGAGGGAGGTGGGGCTGGTCCTGGCAAGGTGGGCCAGCACCACTGGGGATGGGAGAGACTCAGATGCCACTGGGGGGGGTGGCTGAGCCCAATGAGTACAATGAACAGGGGCGGGGCAGGGGAGTGTCTGTGAAGGAGTGATTCCAACGCTGGACCACCAAGTCTTCACTCAGTAACAGGCTGGTGAGGATCTGAGATGCGTGAGGGACAATGGAAAGATGGTCAGATCAATGGATGGACAGTACGTAAAATGGACTTGAAGAATTGCTGGAGTTCAGAAACTAGAGGCAGTTAAGCTGGGGAAAGGGGGCCTCAGTGGACAGAGTAGGGCTCCTGCACTGAGGTCACTGGGGTGACTAATTAGCTTTGTGCTTTGACCTTGACTGCTGAGGGCAGTGGCTCCCTGAAGGGCCAAGGTAGAGAAGGGACAGTCTGTCCAGAAATGAGGTTGAGGGCACAGTGGACTCGGCTGCTGATGGACTGAGAGGTCCAGAGCGCCTCTCACATCACATTTCCTATACCCAACATCCTCTTAACCTATCTCTTCACCCTCCAGACTCTCCTTCCCAAGAGAAGGAACCGGCCATGACTGGCCTGTCCTCAGGAGCTCCCAGCCTCTGTGCAGCAGACGAAGGATCCAGGCAGCCTCGGGCTGGTTCCAAACCACCCTCTCAAAGATGTCCCTGACGGAGCGCTGATCCCCACAAGCCTCCAGCTCAGCCCACCTTCTGGACTCTGCCCCATCTCTGCCCGTTGAGACCCTACTTACCCCTCAAGACTCTCTTCCGGTCACCCTCCTCATCAGTGCTTTTTCAGGCCCCCCCCCCCCCCCGTCATCAGTGGTCTCTCACCCTTGTTCTCTACAACATATGTCATGCTCTGTCTCAACACACAGCGTACACGCCTCCACCCCTTGGATGACAGTTACATGTCTAATTTCCCCACTAGACTGTGTGCTTTCTGACATGGCCCATGTTTTCTTTGTTTTTCTGACCACCCAGAACAACCCAGAATACAGTGGGTTGTTGCCTAATGAATGAAGTTTTAATTAAATGTATATTCCCAGAACAGAAGATTTTACAGAATTCTGTACCAAACCCATCTCAGGGAGACTGATAAAGTATTTGATAAATGCTTTTTTTACCATGTTGCCTCTGAGTACATAAAAACCCCAAGGCAAGCTCTACTATGGCCAGGGCCGAGGCATAAGATGGATGGACAGTCCCCATCAGGACCAAGGGAGAGGTGGACCTCCTGCCTGGAAAAGTGCCAACCCCTTTACTACCCCAACCCAAGATCCGAAAAATATAAAACTCTTACTATATTCAGAGAGTATAGCTCTGGGTTTTGAATTTGTTTCTGGTTTGGTTGGTATTCCTGTTTATCAGGAAAAAAATAACTTTCATTCATTTATGTTTCAACTTCAAAAACAACCAATCACAACAGAAACTGAAGCTAAGTTCAGGATATAACAAACGAGCCTGGTGCACCTCAGGCTCCCTGGCCGTGAACTACCCAAAGAAGGTAGAAATGAAGAGTAGATCATGAGCCAGTCAGAGCTTCGGGGGCTGGAGTCCGGGTCCCGAGCCCCTCCATGGGAGATGGGGTGCAGTTCAGGACTGGGAGGTAGGAGGCTTGCCAGCTTCCCTGACTGGCCACACATCATTTTTCTCTAGTCTCAGAATCAAGAAGGGGACAGGACCACTGCCAGTCATGGAGAACACACAGCAATCTGTGCCGGGGCTGGTCCCCTGGGGAGGCTCCTGAGCACCCCCCACCCCGCCCCTCCGCGCAGCGGCAGCCCACTCACCCGGTACTTGCTGAGGTTGTGTCTCTCCACGCAGGCCCCCTTGAGGCAGAAGCGGCCCTCACCGCAGCCCGTGCCGTCTGCCCAGGGGAAGTGGCGCGTCTGGCACACCATCTGGCCCTTGGCCTTGCCCGTGCACCACAGCTTGGTGCAGGACTGCATGTAGGGGCAGGGCTTGGAGCCCACACCGAAGGCCAGCTCACACTGCTGGCTCAGCGGGTAGCTGGCGCCCGGCAGGTCCTCGGGCAGGGAGACGGGCTTGCTGGGCTGGTCCAGGAGGCAGTCTCCTGCGGGAGCCGAGGGTGTTCATCAGGGACGGGCCCGGAAGGGCGGCCATGGCCAGCATGGGGTCTCGAAGGCAGGGAGAGGACGAAGCCAGGGACACGGAATGGGCCCTGCCAGAGCCCGGCTCCTTGGGTCGCGAGTGCGGTGGGTAACAGAAGACAGATGGGCCGGGCGGCCCACCTCCCCAGGCCCCGCTCACCGTGCCCACTGTCCAGAAAGTCAGTGACGATGGCCGCGCTGCAGGCCGACCAGGGGTTGGCACGGTCGATTTGGATGAGCGTTGGGGACATCATGTGGTTGCCCCGGAGCTTCCCGAACACCTCCTCGCACACCTTCACATTGTCGTGGGGCATGTTGAACACGTGGCCTGCAGGGGAGACAAGGGGCCTCAGAGGGTGGCCGGGGCATGGGGGACCCATGCAGCAGGCCCACCCAGAAGAGGGAGCCACTGCTAAAGGGCCTCGAAGGAAAAAGACAAATGCCCACCCCTGCTCGGAGCAGCCAGCGCACACCCAGAGGGAGCGGAAGGGAGCCCTGCCCTCTCGACCCCCACCCCGAGAGCCCTGTGTACCCAGCTCGTGGGCGGTGGTGAAGGCTGAGGGCAGCCCATCGTCCTCGATCACAGAGCAGCTCCTCTTGGGGTCGCACATGGTGCCCACATCAGCCATGCCCAGGGTGTCACAGGTGGTGGCCCCACACAGGTCCTGCCGGGGCAGGGGAGAAGCAGAGGCCAGCAGAAGTTAGAGGTGTAACATGGAGACCCGTTGAGAAGGAAGGGCACTCAACCCACTCCCAGGCCACGTGGGCACATCACCTCCCAGCCAGGCCCTTTGCCCAGGGGGTTGTGGGCTGCTATTTCTGGAATGAGCCCAGGCCTCAGGAGGGAAGCTTGCTGGCTTGTGAGCTGAGAAGATGCTGCCCAAATCCTACCCGGCGAGGAAATCAAGGGGCCATAATTACACAAGAAGGACCACTGCTTCCTAGAGAGACTGCCTTCTAGCCCAGCAAGTGGGGACTCCCCAGCTGGGTGAGGTTCTGGTCGTGGTTAACTGGGCAGAGGGGGTGAAAAGCCAGCGTTCTCCCAGCAGAGTCGGCTCTGGGAGCCTGGGTCCTCGATGGGGGATGGACTTCAGACAACCATGAATTAAGCTCAGACTCTCAGCCAGCGGGTCACTGGCCAAGGGCCCGCCCTGCCTGAGGCCCAGCTTCTATGGCTGGGAGGGGCAGAGAGAGGCAGATGCAGGCCCAGATCCAAACCCCACTCCACTGGCCATAGAGCTCAGGGGACCACAGGCTTGACAGCCGCTACGAAGACTATACATTACAGGGGACATGACCTGAGCAGGAAGGGCTGTCCCTCTTTTTGTAATGAAACAAGCTGCAGTGGGCCAGGGCCTCCAGCAGCCCTCAGGGAGCATATCCCACAGGGCTTAGGAGCACCATGGGCCAGTGACACGCCAGGGACCTTGGCACCCTGAGTGGCATGAGAACAGGACCCCTGTGCACATTCTGATCCTCCTGAAAAGACGCTCTGCAGGGTGACACTTATGCTAACTGCGTCCTATCCCTGCCTGCACTGCAGAAGGCATTGGGCTGTTTACAAGAAGTTTACGGGCAGCATCTCACGTGCCCCAGCACAGGCTGAGGAGGCAGAGGTGTTATCACACACATCTGTTGAGGGTGGAGCCTGCGACTCGTGATCACATCTCATCATGGTGGTGACCTTGGGTCTGCACCTGATGCGCAGAGTCCTGGGAATCCTCCAACCCAACCTGGAGTAGGGCTTTCAGCACCACCCTCTACAGACGCCCTCTTCAGACGACTCTGAAGCTGGGAGATGCTCAAGCCCCAGCCAGGACCTGGGGTCTGGACACTCAGGCTCTTTCGGCCTCATCACTGCCATTCACCCAGCGCCTCGAGAGCCCCCCTGGGGAAAGCTTCTGGTATTTCCCTGGGGAGCCCAGCGGCTCACAGAGCACACACACAGAGCTGTGCTCAGCTGTGTGTCTCTAGGGGTGTGTGCATGTGTGTGAGCGTGCACACCCATGCCGACGCGGGGAAAATGTAGGCAGCCAGGAGGCACAAGTGGGGCCAGGGGGCATGGGAGGAGATGCGGTCATAGTACAGAAAATCAGCAAAATTTAATCGCGAGCACTCAGAGGTTTACCACCTGAGCAGTCAGGCTTGGCTTCCCACAATCAGGTGACAGTCACAGCTCCTCACAAGTTCACAGGGCTTCTGGCCAGAGAACCCCCAGGGGATCAAACCAAACCAGAGGACACCCGAGTCACTGGTGGGTGAAATGCCGTCTCACCCGGCTCACAGCACCTCTGCCCGTTCTTCAAGCCCTGCAGACACACCTCAAATTCCATCTCTTTCAAGTACCCTTTCCTCATCAAAGGCTCAGAAAGCTCTCCTTTCAGCCCCACCCATGGCCCCTGAGTTCTGAAACCCTGAAAACACCTGCTGTCAGGACACGGCAGGTAGCAGGGAAGAAGAAGCTCACCTGACCAGTGGTTCAAGGACCGTGGCCACCGAGGAGCAGGCTGGGTGGACAGAGTGACCTGGGGACAGAGGACGGAAGGGAGACAGGAATGGAAGGGAGGCAGGAAGGCCCGTGCAGGGGCAGAGTGAGGGGACACGGGAGCACAGAACCCCACAGAGGTGGTCACCCCTGGGAGTTCCAGCCCAGCAATCACAGCCTGCAGGGGCAGCCTCTGCCAGGCAAGCGTGTCACACTGTCCCCAGGCCGCCATGGGTGCCCTGCACTGGCCTCGAGTGGGAGAGGGCAGGACCAAGAAGCCTAGAGGCTGGCCCTGAACCATCACAACACAGATGTGTCACACTGTCCCCAGGTTACCATGGGCACCCAGCACTGGCCTCATGTGGGAGAGGGCAAGACCAAGAAGCCTAGAGGCTGGCCCTGACCCATCACGACACAGACATGTCCCTTCAGGCAAGTCCGCCTATTCCTGGGCCTTGCTCCCCTCCTGGAAGGGCCAGCTCACACTGAGAACCAAGACAGTCCAAGTGCTCTGAGCTTCTACCCCTTGTCAGCTCAGGGGTGTCAGCCCCTCTGGCCTCTGGGTTATAAAAGGAACACTCAGGATGGTCTACTTGCAGAATGGAAGAAACCTAAGGCCGATCTTGTCTGCTGACACACACTATGCAGCTGATAAAAGTGACTCACAGAAACGTGAAGTCACCCACAAGGAGACTCAGAGGACCAGCCCCTGGCTTGCTCAGTGGAAGAGGCCAGAGCAGAGCGAGAGCGCAGGCCAGGGTCCAGCGGCCGCTGCGAAGCCCACCTCTGCAGCCCGGAGGCCCTGGAAGCCGAGAGCTTTCTCCTTGCCCTCTCTTCTCTCTTGTCCTCCTTCCTCTCGGGGAGGCAGGTTTTCTCTGCAGCAGATGTGCCACTGCAGGCCGCTCCTGGCCAGGAGCAACCTGTTCTTGCACCAAGAAACCCCAGTTTCTCTGGATCAAACAAGAGGAACAAGGCAAGAGCCGGCAACCTTCCTGAGGGTCGGGGTGCAGCCAGGAGCGGCCATGCTGCGAGAACCAGCCTATTGCTGGGGGAGAAACCAGCCGCTGGGTGTCAGGGGCTCTGCCGGGCCCTCAGCCCCGAGTCAGGACTCAGAGCGACTCTCGCTGGGCCTCCTGCTTTCAACGCCCACGGGTGACTGTGCAGGGCCCGCCGTGCCTCCCTTGTGGCACTGAGTCTCCACCCTTCTGGAAGGATCTCACATGCACTCCAGCTGCCTTAACCGCTTCACACGAGGCGCTTGTCTCCAGAACCAGAGCCGCTTCTGGGTCCTTCCACCTGCAGGGTGCAGGCACCGCCCAGTCCAGTCACCATCTGCCTCACTATTTCTGGGGACTTGCCGATTCTTCTTGTAGCCACAGGCACTGTCCCAAAGGACCCAAGAATCTTCTTGGCCAAGAACCTAATCCTCCTGGATCATTCTTCTCTGTCTCTTTTTATAACAATAATTTAGGGTTGGAGCCACAATTTGGAAACAAATAAGGATAGCACCTCACTCAGTTAGGTAAAGAATCCACCTGTCATGCAGGAGACTGCCTACAATGCAAGAGACCCAGGTTCGATCCCTGGGTTGGGAAGATCACCTGGAAACAGAAATGACTACCCACTCCAGTATTCTTGCCTGGGAAATCCCGTGGACAGAGGAGCCTGGCAGGCTGAGTCCACGGGGCTGCAAAGAGTTGCACACGACTTAGGGACTGAGCCGCCCCACCGCTGCCACCTCACAGGGCTCACCCTTTTCCCCCAGACTGTGAGCTGCACACACACCACCCCTCCCGACCAGTGTCCTCCCGCAGCCCTCCTTCCACCTCGTCTCACTTTCCCCACCATCTACTGAGGTGCCTGTTGTTTTCCAGCAGCATGAAGAGAGGGGACGACAGAGAGTGAGATGGTTGGATGGCATCACCAACTCGATGGACATGAGTTTGGGTAAACTCCGGGAGTTGGTGATGGACATGGAGGCCAGGCGTGCTGCGGTTCATGGGGTCGCAAAGAGCTGGACACGACTGAGTGACTGAACTGAGACTGAACTGTATAGCTTAGGAACTCTTCTCAATGGCCTGTGGGGACTTACATGGGAAGGAAATCCAAAACAGAGAGGATATATGTATACCTGTGGCTGATTCACTTCACTGTACAGCAGAAACTTACACAACATTAGAAAGCAGCTATTCTTCAGTAAAAACTAATTTAAAACGTCAAGCACAGTAAAGTTTTTCATGTGGCAGAAGACACATGTTCTGATGGAGACAGCTTTCCCGCTCACATTGAATTTCTGGGCATAAGAGCCTACACTCATGATCACAGGTCACATCACAGCTTCCAAGAATTCTACTCACAATTCTGCACAGCCTCTTTCTCATTCTACAGGTGAGGAAACTGGGGCTCCAAGGGCTATGATGACTCCCCGCCAAAGCCAGGCCGCTTTGAAGTAAAAAATGGAGATAGAATCCACACCCTGGGACACCCAGGGCAGCATGGCCTTTAGTCTGAACAGAATCACGTGAGCTAGGGCTCAGTTCACCACTGGTGAGACCACCTGCACGGGTATTAACATGGCCCCTGTAGTCGGTTGCCCATCTGAATCTCTCTCATGTGTCACTGGAGTTCCTCGTCAAACTCAAAATCCACTTCTGGTTGCAATCCCCAAGGACAAGATGGCCTTGCTTTGCTAGAAGGAAAAGAATCTATCAGTTCAGGGTCTGGGCAGCGCGACTCAGGAAGCCTAGTGAGAAGAGGCTACGTGTCCTGCCAGCTTGTATCCGCAGGTTCTGTTCCCCCAGGTCTCCTGCATGGCAGATGGATTATTTACTGCCTGAGCCACCAGGGAAACCTGATTCTGTTCCCCCAGAATACAAATCCCTCGAGATGCATGGATCGGTGTCACAGCAAAAGATGGAGGGAATTGGACAGGAATGCCCTCAGCGAGGAAGCAGAAGAACCCAAAGTTTGCAGGGGACCAGACTCTCTCCAGAAACCATCCAACAGTCGCTAGCATTCACGTAGCAGGTGCTGTTCTGAGCACTTCACCTGCTTGTTGTCGGACTCCTCACTGCAGCTTTGTGAAGGAGATGCCACAACCAGGCCCTACAGATGAGCCCTGGGAGACCATGCGTAACCAGCCCAGGGTCAACAGTGAGCTCGAGGCAAGACGGGGAAGGA